ACTTGAGGAATCACCACCATCCCACCCCCAACTCTAGGAAGCAACCAGGTTGCCAGTGGCACCGTGTGGGGCCCCACGAGTCTAGCGCGCACCCCCGGGCTCTGAGCCTTTTGAGGTTGATGGGGAAGGAGGCTGGACTGTGGCCCTCACATTATCGCGGAGACCGTGAGAAGGTGAGCAGCAGGTAGCCACAGGAGGGTGGGATGGGCACAGGAGTCTGACCACAGGAGTCAGGGCAGGAGAGGAACATGTTCTGAGCCGCCCTCCTGCCGTGCCTGTGCCCGTCGTTCTGGGCAGAGTGCCTCACAGTGGGCCAGGCAAAGATGCAGTGTCTCTTTGGTCCTACACTCACAGCCTGGCAGGTAGTTACGCTGACCAGAAGCTGAGCCAGGACACCGGGCTAGCCGCAGTGTGGGGGGTGGGGCGGGAGCTAGATAGCCAGGGAGAGCCGTGCCACATCCCAGCACAGAGCCTGCTGGCAGCAGAGGAAATAAGGTCTGTAAGGAGCCCCTGCGAAGCCCAGCCCAGAGCCTTTAAGGAAGCAGGCCAGGTGCCCCCTGTACCTGTCTTCTTTTCCATCATATCCCGGAGCCAACATGATGCCTGCCAGGCCCCCCAAAAAAGCCAAACTCATTGCCAACTCATGGTGCCCCTACAGAACAGGCTAGCCCTTCTCCTGTGGGTTTCTGACGCTGTCATGCTCTACAGGAGTAGAAAGCCCCATCTTTCTCACATGGGGGCTGGTGGTTTGGAACCACTGGCCTTGTCAGCTACCCCACCCGGGCTCCTTCCTTGATAACTATTCACTGAAGGACTGGATAGGAGGGTGAGAGGAAGGGGAGGGGGAGAGGGGAAAGGGAAGGTAGGTCTCCTTCTGGGTTCAGCCATCCAGGGAAGAGGCCCAGACCAGGAAAACAGACTCCTAAGGAGTCCAGACACCTGGAGATGCATGGGGGGGAGGGGGGGGTTGGGTAGGGGTTGTGAGCAGGGGAACCCCAAAGAACAAATGGGTAGCATATGTGGTCAGCCAGACAGTCAGCAGTGGTCCCCTCAGCATGTCATCCCCACTGCCATTCCCTAGCCTGGGCCGGGCCTTGTTTGCCCAGCCCCACTTGCCTGAGTTGTGTCCCAAGAGGGTGCCAAGTGCATCTTGGCTCTAGAGGCATTAAGGGAAAAGCAGTGGCCCCTCCCCGCTGCTCCAGGTCAAAGGGTAGCAGTGGCCACTGGACTCTGGGGGACAGGAGTCCTAACTATAAGGACAGGCCCCTCCCTCCCACCTTAAGCGGTGGGTCCTGGGAGACATCACCTCTCCCCTTCCCCCAGGAAGACAGATTCCTAGGTGCCCTTGGGAGGCAATCTGGTGCTGTAGAAAGAGCCTGGGTTTTCGACCCTGGCAGACCTGGCTTTCAGCTTCAGCTCTGCCGTTTCAGCACTGTGGAATGTTGGCAAGCTACTCACCCCCTCACGCTGCTGTTGAGTGGCCATACGCCTGCCTCACGGGGTCGCTGTGCGGTGGAATGATGTCACAGGGCCGTTACAGTGTGTGGCATTTGTTACTGGTAGGTGATGAGCCTTTACCACCACCTAGAAAAACCAACCCAACTGCCAGGAAGTTGATTCCTACAGGGCAGAGTAGACTGTTCCTTTGGGTTTCCGAAGCCGTCACTATGCAGGGGAGCAGGACTCATCTTGATTCCCACAGAGCCGGTGGTGATTTCAAACTGCTGACCTTGCCGGTAGCAGCCCAACGCGTAACCCACTATGCCACCAGAGCTGCAGGGCCTGGAGGAAACCCAGGAGCCAGCTCATTACATGACTCAGCCTGGGGAATGCCTTTGTCTTCATTCCTTCAGTGTCTTTGGCGGACGCTGGTTTTCCAAATAGATATTTCAAAAGTTTTGAGATTTGAGGCTCATCCTCAAATGTTGAGAAGTCCAGTCTCAATCAGATCTTCAAATTCGCTTCTCATCCAGGGTCTCTCTCCCTCCTTACATCCCTGCAGACACAGAGCCCTTCCGTAGCCTGGGCCGGTGGGGCTCCCTCCAGGGCCCTCTTTCACAGAGGCCCCATATCAGATGACAGCCCAGCACCATCCCCAGGGTGGGAGAGTCACTCTCCGACTTACCTCCTGTGACCTCCTCTCACCTGTCCCCAGGCCTCCTCCCCTCAGGCTTGACTGCCAGCCCCTGCATTCCTCCCGGACAGGGCCCACTGTCCCATGTCAGTTCCATGCCTCCTCCATGCAGTGAGTCCTGAAGGTGCAGCTGATTCCCACTGCTGCCCTCCCTCCTGGGCCTCCCCACTCCTGCCAACCTCCTGCCCAGACAAGTCTCCAGCACAGCTCCAAACACCCAGAACTTTTCCCAAGCACAGCCCCAGTGCTCCTGGGTGAGCCGCCAGTTTCTGCTGGGCAGTGAGCATCCAGACAAGTGGAGAGCTACCATACGGTTGGTCTCCAGAACCCTCCCTCCGCCGCGCCCCCCACCCCCACCCCACCTAGGTTGGGTAGAGAAGGCTGCAACCCTCCCCACTTCAACAGCATCTCTCTCCCTGCACTCCTCTCTTCCCTCCACCCCGGGAGAAGGCAGTGCAGCCTGGCGAGGTGGTGGGGTTTGCAGTGTGGCTAAGTCCAGCATGGATGTCTAGCATTTCCCGTCGAACTCGGAATAATGCATTGCGTGGTGTTCTCAGCTTTGGGAAATCAACTGGTAAAATCCTAAAATATAGGAACATCTCACTCAGCATCCTCTTAAGCAAAGGATTAATTTTTCCAGGCTCAGGATTTTCTATCTGCTAGACGTCTTCTTTTCTCTGAATGCATAGAATGTTGTGTTTACTGCTCTAGACAACAGGCTAGAAGCCAAGATACAGGGACAGAAGTTTGTCCCTCAACTAGCTGGAAGTAGCATGCCCTCTATCCCCGCTGCTTCACCTGGGCAGTGAGGGTTAGGGAGATCGGAAGTAAGGTTTCTTACAGTTCCCGCTGGAGCCTTGGGGGAGGAGATAAATGGTTAATGCTGTTGACCACTAACAGAGAGGTTGGAACTTTGAGTCCAGCCAGAGACCTTGACAATAAAAGACCGAGGAGTGTGCCCTCGGGCAAAAAGCCATTGAGAAAAAACGGGCAGAGTGTGACCCTCTGAGAATGACTTGAGTCAGAATCAGCTGGACAGCAGCTGTCCAGACTGGTACTGATAGCATTCCAACAGTCTAGGGACTTTAATGTTTTTAATATGTTTTTCTTAAAATGAGATCACAACTTTTTAACTTATCACAGTTCAAGAAATGATTATGTAGCTAACACCCATGTGATCATCGCCCAAGTCAGCAGCTTATTCTTACCACTCTAGCCAGCCCCTTGTACTCCCTCCCAGTCACCCTCCCCCCACCAACCCCAAACCAAAGTTCTGACTCCGATCAAGATACTTCTGTGCATTTCCTTATCATCTGACCAATCAAGTAGGCAACCTTGTATGCTGAGTACTGCAGTCTCAGTTTGCCTCGTTTTGAATTTTGTATAACTAGAACAATACAGAATATATTGCTTGTGCTCATCTTCTTTTATTCGCCATTTTGTTGGCCCAGCTTTATCCATTTTGTAGCAAATAACTATAGTCCATGCTTTTTTGTTGCTGTATAGTATTCCCCAGCTTATGTTGCTGAAGATTTGGGTGATCAATCTAGGACTTCCTTGAGTCATTCATTAAGCAATGTGTAGAGACTGTGGTCAGGCAACTGGACATTTCCCCCGGGGAACCTAGAGAATTATTAACAAACAGGCTTCCGAACTTAAACTGAAATTATTACAAGAATTGTTTCCCCCTGGCCAGTTTAGGGAACTAGTAAGCCAAATGGAGCAACACTCTTCGACACCTTGGTCCCAGGCTGGCCCCCATTCCACTGGCAGTGTTGTGCTTGAAGTAAACAGGGATGCCCCTTGAATTTCTGCTACCTCCTGTATTGAGAGGTGCCATGATGTTGCTGTCAGCTCAGAGTCCAAGCATGGAGTAAATCTTCCACCACGATCGCAAACCCCAGCCCATAGCCAGAGTCAGGCGGCCCTGGACCCCACAGAGAGATGGCAGCTGGCACCAGGTGGGGCTTGGACAGTGGCAGGCTGCTGCTCAGCAGGGCCCTGGACAGCCTGGCGGGAAGCCAGACCTTGTGCAGAAACCAATTGAGAAAGACTCTCCTTTAACGACTGTGTCTCCAACAAGTACATGCAGCAGCTAAAGCAGCGGTTCTCAACCTATGGGTCACGACCCCTTTGGGGGTCAAAGGGTCCTTTCACAGGGGCCACCCGATTCATAACAGTAGCAAAAGGACAGTGATGAAGTAGCAACGAAAATCATTTTATGGTTGGGAGATCACCACCACAGGAGGAAGTGTATGAAAGGGTCGAGGCATTAGGAAGTTGAGAACCCCTGAGCTAAAGCGAATGATCCCGCTCTAAAGCAATAGGCATCTGCCCAGACACCAGAGCAAACCTCCCAAGGTGCTCACAACCCAAGCCAAGGCCCAGACCCAGGCTGAAGCCAAGCCTTTGCTGCAAAGTCCTTTCCAGAGACTGGTCATCAGGGTGAGTGGGCAGCCCCAGGTTAGCCGCAGTCCTAGCAGAGCTCTGTCTTTCCAGAGCACTCTGCGACTGGGTGTGCTTGGAGGAAAGGAGCCACTGAGTGGACACGTGTTTGCTCTATGGTCATCCCCATGGTTGCACGTGTGCAACTGGGCCTGTTGTGTGTGTCCCACGTGACTCTCCTGCCCTGTGCATATTGAATTCTAGATTCCCAAGATGCAGGGCCGTGTCCCCTCCGTCAGTGTGAGCGATTGCCGAGATCAGGCATCCTGTCTTGTGCCCTCACGTGAAAGAAACGCGTAAGGGCCACTTTCCCTGAAGCTGCGTGCTGCCACTCCGCACCCGTACGCCATGGGCCCCGTGGCGCTGGTAGGGACAGCCGGTCCGGCCCCATACTCCGCTGACCCTTGCGCTGTCTCTGCAGGTTTTGGCATGACCACCCCGGCGACGGTGGGCGGAAAGGCCTTCCTGATCGCCTACGGGCTGTTCGGCTGTGCGGGGACCATCTTGTTCTTCAACCTCTTCCTGGAGCGCATCATCTCGCTGTTGGCCTTCATCATGCGCACCTGCCGCGAGCGCCAGCTGCGCCGCAGCGGCCTGCTGCCCGCCTCCTTCCGCCGCGGCTCGGCGCTCTCCGAGGCCGACGGCCTGGCCGGCTGGAAGCCCTCGGTGTACCACGTGCTGCTGATCCTGGGCCTGTTCGCCGTGCTCCTGTCGTGCTGCGCCTCGGCCATGTACACCAGCGTGGAGGGCTGGGACTACGTGGACTCCCTCTACTTCTGCTTCGTCACCTTCAGCACGATCGGCTTCGGCGATCTGGTGAGCAGCCAGCACGCCGCGTACCAGCACCAGGGCCTCTACCGCCTGGGCAACTTCCTCTTCATCCTGCTCGGCGTGTGCTGTATCTACTCGCTCTTCAACGTCATCTCCATCCTCATCAAGCAGGTGCTCAACTGGATGCTGCGCAAGCTGAGCTGCCGCTGCTGCGCGCGCTGCTGCCCGGCGCCCAGCGCGCCCCTGGCCCGGCGCAACGCCATCACCCCCGGCTCCCGGCTGCGCCGCCGCCTGGCCGCGCTCGGCGGCCACCCCGCGGCCCGCGACAGCGACGCCGAGGGCCGCCGCCTGTCCGGCGAGCTCATCTCCATGCGCGACCTCACGGCCTCCAACAAGGTGTCGCTGGCGCTGCTGCAGAAGCAGCTGTCGGAGACGGCCAACGGCTGCCCGCGCGGCGCGTGCGTGCACACGCGCCAGAACGGCTTCTCGGGCGGCGTGGGCGCGCTGGGCATCATGAACAACCGCCTGGCCGAGACCAGCGCCGCCCGGTAGGCGGCCGCGCGCCG